AAAATACAAAAAAACTAGCCGGGCGAGGTGGCGGGCGCTTGTAGTCCCAGCTACTCGGGAGGCTGAGGCAGGAGAATGGCGTAAACTCGGGAGGCGGAGCTTGCAGTGAGCTGAGATCCGGCCACTGCACTCCAGCCTGGGCGGCAGAGCGAGACTCTGTCTCAAAAAAAAAAAAAAAGAGTTCGAGAGCAGCCTGGCCAATATGGGGGAAAAAAAGAGTCTGTGGAGGCCATGGAGTGAGAGGTGGCTGGGGTAGTTACAAGGAAAGGGGAAGAAGACAGGACAGTTTTGAGAAATGGAAGATCAAATGGAGGAGAGGAAATCACTGCCTCTTTCCCACCAGCCATTCTTTTTTTTTTTTTTTTTTTTTTTTTTCCTGGAGACAGAGTCCCACTCTGTCGCCTAGGCTAGACTGCAGTGGCATGATCTTGGCTCACTGCAACCTCCACCTTCTGGGTTCAAGCAATTCTCCTGCCTCAGCTTCCCGAGTAGCTGGGACTATAGGTGCACACCGCCACGTCTGGCTCATTTTGTGTATTTTAGTAGAGACAGGGTTTCACTGTATTGCCCAGGCCCAGTCTCAAACTCCTGAGCTCAGGCAGTCTGCCCACCTCTCGGCCTCCCAAATCCCACCAGCCATTCTGACAGAGGAGACACGGCATGTGACGCTGAGCACAGGCCATGGATGAGCCAGACATAAGCTATCTTGTTTAATTTTCATTAATGATAATAACAGCTAACATTAATTGAGCACCTACTGTGTTCCAGGCACTGTGCTAGGTGCTAGTTGCCTTATATATACTAACTCAGTCATTGCAAACAATGTGATGAGATAGCCAAACTGCCTGGGCTCAGATCTCAGCTATGGCAAGTTACTCTCATTTTACTGATGAGAAACAGACAGGAACTTCCTCAGTTTGGCTTCAGGGCTTCTACTTGGCACCGCGGCTGCCTTGCCTGTGTTCCTAATGTACAGAAAGTGACACACACAGGTCTGCCACATGGAAAGTGCTCAGTGAGCAAAGCTCCTGCCTTCAGAGAACACGCTCTGAGTCCTACTTTGTATCAAACACTGGAGTGGACACCAGGGGTACTAACCAGAGAAGCCTACAGTCCCTGGCCTCAGGGGCCCATAGTCTAGAGAGTCTAGAGAGAGGAGCAGGGATGAAAACGAGTGAATTAAATACAGGAAGAAACAAAGTTGGGCATGGTGGAAGGCGCCTGCAGTCCCAGCTACACAGGAGGCTGAGGTGGGAGGATCACCCGAGCCCATGAGTTTGAGACCAGCATGGGCAATATAGTAAGACTGTGTCTTTCTTTTTTTTTTTTTTTTTTTGAGATGGAGTCTTGCTCTGTTGCCCAGGCTGCAGTGCAGTGGTGCCATCTCGGCTCACTGCAACCTCTGCCTCCTGGGTTTAAGTGACTCTCGTGCCTCAGCCTCCTGAGTAGCTGGGATTACAGGTACATGCCACCACACCCAGCTAATTATTATATTTTTAGTAGAGATGGGTTTTCACCATGTTGGCCAGGCTGGTCTTGAATTCCTGACCTCAGGCTCCCAAAGTGCTGGGATTACAGGCGTGAGCCACCACGCCTAGCCTCCTATCTCTTAAAAAAAAATTTTTATATATATATATAGATAGAGAGAGAGAGAGAGAGAGAGAGAGAGAGTGAAGTACACAAGAAGCCTGTGTGAGATCCAGGGGTGGCACAGCCGTCCATCCCATCCAGTTAGGTCTCCAAGAACCCCTGCTGCCCACCAGAGTCTTGTCAAGGAAGGCTTCCAGAAAGAGGCAATGGCTGGGCTGCTTGGTACAATCTCTATTTTACTGATAAGGAAACTGGTTAAGAGAAGACTGGGGATTTGTCCAGACACAGAACCAGGATTCAAAAACCTAGGCAGGTCTCTTGAAGTACAGAGCCCTTGGCCAATGCAGGACTCGGTGCTGCCTCTGGTCTGAGGAAGGAGGAACAGGCCTGTCCTTGGGGAGCTCTTAGTCTCTTACGACTGTGGACGTGTTCTGTCTCCAATGGGATGCCAGGCAGTCATCCCTCCCACACACATGCACATACTCTTCACCTTCAAAGATTCAGGGACACACACACACACACATCAGGAGACACTGGACCACATACAGAGCAACCACCTCCGAAAGAAACTGTGGACACAGACTTCTTCTCACTTTTCAAGGCCCCACCCCACTCAGATATCCTTCCCCGATGAGACCTTCCCCAAATCCCTGGGGCAGCGAGTAGACTCCTCCTCTGGTCTCCCAAGTCCTTGCATATTGTCATCACAGCACTTCCAACTCTGGGCGCATGTGGGTCTATGGATCTATGACTATATGAGCTTTGGGAACAGGGATCCATTTTATTTACATTTGTATCCCCAGCACCTGGCACACTACCTGGCGTTTTGTAATGCTCCCTAAGAGTTTGCCGAATTAATATGTGAATAGGAAAGTGAACAGACAAAGGAACAAGGACCAGTTTTCTAAATGCTCTCCCACGGAGGAAGGCAGCTCAAGGAACGACAGGGCAACACAGACCAGCATGTGACGGGGCTGAGGGCCCAGAGAGAAAGTGTGTGTCCTCAGACCCTCAGCCCAGTGAGCTGGGCAGCAGGGCGGGCTTAGGAGGAGGGAAGGGTTGGAAAGGACACAACACGAGGCCAGGGCAGGGAGCAGGCTCAGGCAACCAGCAAAGGTGAAACAGAGCACTCAGGAGCCTGGGTGAGCAAGGCCCAGCAAGGAGGGCAGTCAGCATGGGTGTGGAAGCGGGGCTGGCAGAGCACAAAGGCCGGGCCAGACCACTTGGGCAGCAGAGAAGCTGATGAGAGGAAGAACTTTCCACAGAAAGGTTTTTCAGAATGAGGCAGGCCTCCCCAGGTGGGTGACAGGGGAGGAGGCAGGATTCATCCCTAAGATTTGAGAATTTCATAAACAACTGGAGACCAATCTAAGACACTAGTATTTAAACAAATGCCGCCAGGTGCAGTGGCTCATGCTGATAATCCCAGCACTTTGGGAGGCCGAGGCAGGTGGATCACCTGAGGTCAGGAGTTCGAGACAACCCTGGCCAATATGGTGAAACCCCGTCTCTACTAAAAATACACAAATTAGCTGGGCATTGTGGTGGGCGCTTGTAATCCGAGCTACTCAGGAGGCTGAGGCAGGAGAATCGTTTGAACCCAGGAGGCAGAGGTTGCAGTGAGCCGAGATGGAGCCACTGCACTCCAGCCTGGGCGACAAGAGCGAAACTCTGTCTCAAAAAAAAAAAAAAAAAATGCCGACTCATGCTGCCAAAACGTGAAACTTACAAGGTTTTCCCAGAGGCACCCGCTGCCTGAAGGTGAACCATTGAAGTTCACGTGCGCCCACCTGCCTCTAACCTGTTTCCCCCTTTTGCTCTCTCTCTGTCTCCCTTCCACCCAGGCCAGAGCCATGGCCCACCCACCCCTCCAACCACCCCAAAGACAGAGCTGCAGTCGGGCAAGGCAGACCCGAAGCGGGACGGGCGCTCCATGGGGGAGGGCGGGAAGCCTCACATCGATTTCGGCAACGTGGACATCGGTGAGATCAGCCACGAGGTAATGTCCAACATGGAGACCTTTGATGTGGCTGAGTTGGACCAGTACCTGCCGCCCAATGGGCACCCAGGCCACGTGGGCAGCTACTCAGCAGCTGGCTATGGGCTGGGCAGCGCCCTGGCTGTGGCCAGTGGACACTCCGCCTGGATCTCCAAGCCACCAGGCGTGGCTCTGCCCACGGTCTCACCACCTGGTGTGGATGCCAAAGCCCAGGTGAAGACAGAGACCGCGGGGCCCCAGGGGCCCCCGCACTACACCGACCAGCCATCCACCTCACAGATCGCCTACACCTCCCTCAGCCTGCCCCACTACGGCTCAGCCTTCCCCTCCATCTCCCGCCCCCAGTTTGACTACTCTGACCATCAGCCCTCAGGACCCTATTACGGCCATTCGAGCCAGGCCTCTGGCCTCTACTCGGCTTTCTCCTATATGGGGCCCTCACAGCGGCCCCTCTACACGGCCATCTCTGACCCCAGCCCCTCAGGGCCCCAGTCCCACAGCCCCACACACTGGGAGCAGCCAGTATATACGACACTGTCCCGACCCTAAAGGGGGCCCTGTCGCCACCACCCCCCGCCCAGCCCCTGCCCCCAGCCTGTGTGCCCTGTTCCTCGCCCATCTCAGGCCTGGCGGTGGCAGTGGAGGAGGCTGAGGAGGCTGAAGAGGCTGACGGGTCAGGGGGCTTTCTGTCTGGCTCACTGCCCTGATGACCCGCCCGCCCCATCCAGGCTCCAGCAGCAAAGCCCCAGGCGAACAGGCTGGACAGAGGAGAAGGAGGTTGACTGTTGCTCCCACACTGAAAGATGAGGGGCTGCACCTTCCCCCAGGAATGACCCTCTATCCCAGGACCTGAGAAGGACCTGCTCACCCTCCTTGGGGAGGGGAAGCACCAGGGTTGGTGGCATCGGAGGCCTTACCACTCCTATGACTCCTGTTTCCTCTCTCACAGAGTGTGAAGGTCTGACATGCCCATGCCACCTGTGCCACAGTGCCTTAGGGCTAGGCCCCCAGAGACTGTGTCCGGAGCTGGCCGTGTCTCCCACTCAGGGGCTGAGAGTAGCTTTGAGGAGCCTCATGGGGAGTGGGGGGTTCGAGGGACTTAGTGGAGTTCTCATCCCTTCAATGTCCCCTCCCCTTCCGAAGGCAGGAAGGAGTTGGCACAGAGGCCCCCAGACCCAATTCTGTGCCAGTAACCTCATTCTTTGTCTAATCGAGAAAGAGCCCCCAGTCCTCCTCCACTACAACCTCTGTGACCTTGAGGCGCATCCCAGGAGGTGAGGAGGCAGGGGCTCCAGGAAAGGAATCAGAGACAATTCACAGAGCCTTCCTCCCTGGGCTCCTTGCCAGCTCCCTCTTCCCTTACTAGGCTCTACGTCCCCTGCTCTGTCAGCCCCACTCCTTGGGCTTCCCAGAGAGTGACAGCTGCTCAGGCCTGAACCCTTGGCTCCAGGAGACACAGGGCCCAGCACCCAGGTTGCTGGCAGCAGGCTGAAGACACTAGAATCCTGACCTGTACATTCTGCCCTTGCCTCTTGCCCCTTGCCTCCCAGTGGTATCTGAATAAAGTATGTAGCTCTATCTGCCCCCCATTTTCCTGTTCTGCAGCCCCCCAAATCCACATGTAACTCATTACTGTCTCCTGTTATTTATCTCAGTAGTCCCCTCTCCTAGCCACTCTAGCACCTATTAACTCTGCATTAAGCATTCCACATAATAAAATTAAAGGTTCCGGTTACCTGCTTGGTGAGCCTGACCTGGCCTGTCTCTTCATCTCTTATCCCTGTACTGGTGCTTCCTCAAATGCTTTCTGGAAGTAGCTAGGAGTAGAATGCAAAGGACAGATCATCAAAGGTCTCTCTCTCCCACCTCCTTCCCTCTTTCCCCACCCCCTTCCCCTTCCTCCTCCTCTCTTCTCCCTCCCCCTCCTCTTTCTCCCCTCTCCACCTCTCCTCTCTCTCTCTCCCCCACTCCCCCTCTCCTCTCTCTTTCTCTCTCTCTCTCTCTCTCTCTCTCTCCCTGCTAAGAAAGTGGGAACAACGGAGTCGGTTAGGATAGCTGGCATCCCAGTGGGGTCCGTCTGAGCTCAAGGACTGAAGCCTCAGATGGGAGCTTCTCCCCAGCCGGCTGTGCCCCACACTGCAGGGGGGCCACTCACTCTTAACTGGCTCAGCTGGAACTCACTGCCTTGCAAGCAGCCCCTCTGCTCACCCAGCACCCAGCAGAGGGGAGCTGGCAAAGAATTCAAGAGACAGGTATCTGAAGAGGAGAAGGTGGGTTGAGTGTGACACTGTGCTGCCTGCAGTCAGAGGCCTGTCCTTCAGGATGTGTGGATAGGCCCTGTGTTGCTGCATCCCCCTACTTGCCACCTCCCCCAGCACATACACAGCAGCCCATGCCAGGATCTAGCCAAGCCTTCACAGCAGCTGCCCTTGTCCAAGTCTAGACCAAGGATGTCAGACAGTCTACTCCTTAAGCACCTACTCCCTAAGAGCTCTTTCCTCAGCAGAAGTCCAAACTGCACTCAGAGGCCAGGACCACTCCACCTCACAAGCACACAACTGCAAGGACAGGGGAAATCTCTTTGCCATCTTGCTCCACTGATGAACAACTCCGATGGTTGGAAGTTCTTCCTCATACCCAGCTTCTAACAGCTTATATACAGCTGCCATTTACTAAGTGCTCCACTAAGGGTCTTATGTCATTCAGGCCAGTGAAGGGGTAGGTCCAATTATCTCAATTTTCCAGATGGGGAAACTGAAGTTTGAGAGATTGATGCTAAGAAGTGCTGGTGCCAGAATCTGAAGCCAGCTCTGACTCCAAGGCTTGCACTTTTAACCATCATCCCCTCTACCTGCCTGTGGTTTGCAGACCCTGCTTCTGCTTTGTATCTGGAGCAATGCATCTTCAACTGCTCCAGACTGGGTATCGTCAGCTCCCTTCCATCTGTGGTCTCCAGCCCCTAGTCAGGACTGGGGCAGAGACAGGGCACCAAGAACTAGCCCAGTCTCCAGGGTGACCAAAATCCCTCCATCTGGGAGCTGCACTATGGAAGCTCTTCAGGCAACCTCCCCAAAACTGCTGGTTCCCGTGAAGCTGGATGGTAACCGAAACCCCTGATCTTTTAGACAATATCCATTGCAAAGTCATATCCAAATTGTATGTATGTCGTTGTTTTGTTTTAGATAAAAGCAGGACTTTACACTGATCTTTAACAGATCTCACCTTGTTGGGTTTGACCCATTTCCCCACCTGTATTAAACCTTTTAGAACTTAGCTCTCCTTTAGAGCTTTATGTATCTGCAAACTTGAATAGCCTCATTCAAGTCACTAATAAAGGTCGAAATGAAGAGGGACACCTGCGTACAGCACTAAATGCCTCTCTCCACCGTCAGTTCTATTATCTCCACTCTTTTTTTTTTTTTTTTTTTAAGATGGAGTTTTGCTCTGTTGCCAGGCTGGAGTGCAATGGTGCAATCCTGGCTCACTGCAACCTGTCTCCTGGGTTCAAGTGATTCTCCTGCCTCAGCCTCCTGAGTAGCTGGGACTATAGGTGCCCACCACCACGCCCGGCCAATTTTTTGTATTTTTTTAGTAGACAGGGTTTCACCACGTTGGCCAGGATGGCCTCAATATCCTGACCTCATGATCCACCCCCTCAGCCTCCCAAAGTGTTGGGATTACAGGCGTGAGCCACCGCACCTGGCCTATTATCTCCACCCTTCTTTTTCTTTTTTTTCTTTTTTCTTTTTTTTTTTTTTGAGATGGAGTCTCGCTGTGTTACCCAGGCTGGAGTGCAGTGGCGCAATTTTGGCTCACTGCAAGCTCTGCCTCCCGGGTTCACACCATTCTCCTGCCTCAGCCTCCCAAGTAGCTGGGACTACAGGCGCCCACCACCATACCTGGCTAATTTTTTGTATTTTTCAGTAGAGACAGGGTTTCACCATGTTAGCCAGGATGGTATCAATATCCTGACCTCGTGATCCACCCGCCTCAGCCTCCCAAAGTGCTAGGATTATAGGTGTGAGCCACCACGCCCGGCTATTATCTCCACTCTTAAGGAGGCTGTCTAATCAGTTCTATCTCCACTCTTAAGGAGGTTGTCTAATCAGTTCTAAAACTGTCTAACTACATCACCATGAAGCACATGCTTCTCTGTCACGGTGGCATGGAGACTGCCAATGCCTTGTCAAAATCAAGATTCACTGATCTCTGGCATTCCCTCAACCTACTGGACTAGACCAGTAACCATCGAAAAAAAAAAAACTTACTTGGCAATATTGGTTCTTAGACAACCCATGCTAGCGCCTGATCTCCTTTTTATTATATAAGCACTTTTAAACATGGAGTGACCTATTCTAGAATTTTTTTTTTTTTGGGACAGAGTCTCGCTCTGTCGTCCAGTCTGGAGTGCAGTGGCGCGATCTCGGCTCACTGCAAGTTCCACCTCCCAGGTTCACGCCATTCTCCCACCTCAGCCTCCTCAGCAGCTGGGACTACAGGCCCCCGCCACCACGCGCAGCTAATTTTTTTGTATTTTTAGGAGACAGGGTTTCACTGTGTTAGCCAGGATAGTCTCGATCTCCTGACCTCGTGATCTGCCCGCCTCGGCCTCCCAAAGTGCTGGGATTACAGGCATGAGCCACTGCGCCTGGCCAACCTATTCTAGAATTTTGTCACAGATCAATCAGTACTAACCTTATGTGTTTATAATTTTTACAACCCACCCTTTCCTCTTCATTGAAAGGCAGGACTTTTGTCCATTTGCGGTCTGTTCACTACTCCTGCTCGCAGTGGGATGAGGGATATGGAGCTGGCATGGTGGGGAGCAAGGGGCACATCCGGAAGATGACACTATCACCTCCAAGACCCCACATCTCATGAGATTGAGTGGGAAATCACTGAGGATGTGGAAGGAGGGGAAATGACCCCAGAGAAGTCAGAAGACCTGGGTTGTGCACATCCCTTAGACCAAAGGTTCCAAGGGTGCGCGGGCCTCAGGAAGGCAGGAGCTCTACTTGTTAAAAAAGAGTCGGGTGTTTCTGGAAATGACTCAAGAGACTATGCCCAAACCCTAAGGAAACAGAACCAGTAGTGATGACCGGTGACATTTTATTCAAAAGAAGTCAAAACCCAGGCCCAGCCAGCTGAATAGCAGGGGACTCCCCAAAAGAGGAGAATGGGAAGAGGAAGACGGAGGAAAAACACCCATTCTGTCCCATTTCCCTTGCACCCTATCCCCCAAGGGTTAACCCCCCACTCCCCTCCTCCCCAGCCCAAACCCCATCTCCCTTTAATCACATCTGATACTGAGCAGCCCAGCAGGGAACAAAGAGACTATTTAGAGAAATGGGGCCGAGAAAGTGACCCCCGCACTCTGGGGCGGCTGCCTGGATGCCAGCACAAAGGCGGCATTTCAGAGCTGAAATTTCAGCACCCAACTTGATTAAAGGATTCCACAGGCTTGGAGGAGGATGGATGGGGGTGTGAAGTCCACTGCTCCCTGAATTAACCCTTCTCCAGGGCAGCAGACACCCCTCCCACCAGTGCAGATGCTCACCATTCACTCCCCATACCCCATCCTGGGACCAGGCTGCACCCAGGCCCGGAGGCCCTGCCTCCTGCAGAGGTTAGGGAAGCCCAGCTCCTCCTCTTGGAAAGGGAGCTGGCAGTGGAATGGAGGTCAAGGCTGGCATATTCAGGAAGCCAGTTTTCCCTCTATTCCTGTTCATGTCAATATACACCCTCCCCCTGAACCCCTAGGAGGGAGGAGCCAGTGTGACTGGTCTTACCTCAGGTTGGGTAAGCAGGATGGAGAAAGGAAGAGGACCCATTAGAACCTCAGGCAGAGGAAGCAGGAGCTCCAGCTCTGACTTAATGTAACACCTGGAACCCAGAAGCACCACCACCCCAGTACCATCCCTGCAAGGCCTCAGAGGATCACCAGCCCCAAACAGGAAGGAAAGGATATCTTATAGGGGCTGGGAAGATGGCATGGGTGTGGCACACCAAAGAGGTGGGCCACAGAGGACAGCGTGTGGGCAGAGTCCTGAGGAGGAGTAGGGACAGAGGCGTGGGGGCAGGGGTAGGCAGGTGCTCGGTCCTTGCTTCGGCTGCTGACTTGCCCAGCAGGGCTCTGCCTGGGGACGGTGGGAGATCAGCACACCCCCACGCTTCCTGCTGGGGCACTGCTCCTGAAAGGGGATCCGAGCCCACGATAAGAGGCTCGAAGCAGGTCCTTAGGAAACAATGGGTGGCTTGATGAGACCTGCTCTGTGATACTCCTGAGAAGGGAGAAGCCCCTGCAGCCAGTCCCCACTGGAAAGGAAATTGGGGGTTTCCGTGGCAACCAGTTCCCTGGGCACAAAGACTCGTCTGTCTGCTGGGAAGGCAGCTGAGGTGTCTCCCCTGCAGCAGCCTTTGCTCTGGGGAACAGGGAGATGGAGGGAAGGATGTGGGGGATCCAAAGGGGCTAACGGCCTCTGGTGCTTCTTAAGGAGCTGACAGTCACAGGGCCACTGGAATAGGTGTATGCTCCAGGCAGCATGGCGGTAACAGGGAAGCAAAAGGTGGTGACATCGCAGATAAGCAGAGGGGAAGGGGGTTGGAAAGTTGAATATTTTATTTACACATATAAAGTGGGAATGAAAATTGGGCAAGGGCAGGAAGATGACTCCAGCTCAGTCGGTGATGATGAGCTCGTCCACCCCCCAGTCTTCATAGCTCCCATCTGGCAGGTAACGGCGAATGATGATGGGGATCTTTCGGGCCCTGTGGCAGGGGAAAAGTCACAAGTACATGAGGGCTGGTGACCCCAGCTCTGCCGCAGAAGGAACAGATTGTGTGCAAAACACAAGGAAAGAGAAGTCTTAGGAGCAGCCTCTTGGGGCTGATGAGTGTACTTTGTAAGAAAGCAATTACAAGAAAAAGAAAGTTTTTATATCAGACAAGAGGGGGAAGAGTGATAGAATATTGGTAAGGCCTCCTGCAGCAGGAACAGGGAAACTCCAACAGCCAGAAAAGGTCCCGGTCTCATCAGTGCCCTCCCCCCTTTCCCTGCCTCCTCTTCTCTCTTCCTCCTACCTCCTGGTGAGCTGTTCCTAATGATCTGTAGGAATAAGCATCAACTTCTTCAGCCAGGGAAGTGGGAGAAAATGGTGCAACAGAGAACCCAACAGATGCCTCCCAGAGATTTGGAGAAGTGAACCATGATTTGAGTGACTTACTTGAGTTCCTTCATGGCAATGAGCAGAGGATCTGTCTCCCCCTCCAGCTCTACCATCACAGGGGCACACATCCTGTAGGGATACGCACAGGTGTTGGGGAGACTGCAAACCCAGGGAGAAGGGCCTAACAGGTAGTGAAGGTGGAACGGCATCTTGGTCCCCACCTAGAAACATCATCTTCTAGGTAGACAGGCATAGTAGGGAGTGGTGTGTAGGGGCACTGCCAGAGATCTTCCCTGGCAGAGGCCTATCGCAGACTCCTGAGCCCAGCGGCCACAGCAGAGTGTCCTGGTGGAAAGGGTGGTGTGTGCAAAGGCACACCATTCTAACTGCTCCAACCCCAGAGCCTTGCCTCAGTGCCCAGGGCCCCTCATTTCAATTTCTATTTTCTCTCTCTCTCTATTTTTTGGAGAGAAAGTTTCACTCCCATTGCCCAGACTGGAGTGCAATGGCAAGATCTCGACTCACTGCAACCTCCACCTCCCAGGTCCAAACAATTCTCCTGCCGCCTCCCAAGCAGCTGGGACTATAGGCACACACCACCAGCTATGCTAATTTTTTGTATAGATGGGGTTTCACCATGTTGCCTAGGCTGGTCTCAAACTCCTGGGCTCAAGCAATCCGCCTGCCTCAGCCTTCCAAATTGCTGGGATGAAACCCAGCCTCATTTCCATTCTCTATAGCCACAACACCTCAGTAGAAGCCCTGCCCTTCCTGCCCAGCCCTCCCTACCCTTCACCTGAGGCCAGCAGGCAGTCCAGGGACTCATCTGCTTACAACACTGCCATGACTCCCCTTGGCTATCAGGCCAGAGTGCAGTCTGGTCCCTGTTCGCCTTCCTAGCACAGTCCCGTGCTACTTTCCTGTATTTACCCCACATTCCAGCCATACCAAACTATTTCTGGTTCCCTAGACGCGCCATGTTGTTTCCCTTTTGTGTGCTCTTACAAGCTCTTCATCTCCCTAAAAGCCTGCGAGAGGTCCGGATGTCTCCATCCTGGAAATCGTGTGCTGACTCTTCAGTACCCCAAGTCACTCAGGATATACTTTTCTTGGCACCAATCTCACTGAACTGTAACTACTTGTTTGGAAAGTTTCCACATTAGACCATGAGCTCCTGGTGGCCCAGAACCACATGTGATTCACCACGGAGGTCTAGCCCCCAGCACAACACTTGGCCCACAGTGGAGACTACCACCAAGCAAAGGGATGCCAATTCTAGGCCCATCTCCTCTAGGAAGTCAGTCTTGATGATTCCAGCTCAGGTTCACACTAACACATCCAGAATGAACAGGAGAGCGTGCTAAAAAATACAGGTTCACGGGTCCTTCTCCAGAATCCCTGAACAGAATCTCTAGTGAAGTGGCCTGAGAGCCTGCATTTGCAGAACTGCTCAGATGATTCTGATAATCAGCTAATCTGAGAGCTACCAGCTTATTAATTTTATTACTAAATATTTCAATTTATATTACTCCCAAAAGCCTGAAAATTTCCCAAGGGCAGAGATGGAAGATTTAACTTTCCCTATATCCTCTCTCAATAAGTATTCAAACTTTCCCAAAATATAAAGCTTTAAAGAATGTGGCAGAATACTTTCCATGATCTGCATATGCCTGCTTTCTTTTAAAATATAAATAATTCAAGGGCATTCACTCATTCAGCACCTATTATGCACATGGAATGTGCAAGATGTGTCCTTAAGTAATTTAATTTTTCTTGCACCACGGCCTCTACAAATAAACACATCCACCATCCAGTTAAGAAGCAGATGTGGCCGGGCATGGTGGCTCAAGCCTGTAATCCCAGCACTTTGGGAGGCCGAGACGGGTGGATCACGAGGTCAGGAGATCAAGACCATCCTGGCTAACACAGTGAAACCCC